ATAAATCTTAAAAAAAAAATACAACTCAATACTGTTTGGATTGCTTAGGTCTTGCTGTGAACCAATCATGGTGGCCATTCATGGATGGTAATGATTGATTTAGTCTGTCAAATGTACCATTTCTAGAAGTCAGAATATAGTCAGCTGCCCAGAATTTCATGGATCTTCAGAAGTCTACTCAGAGGGTCTGGCTATCCCCAGGATTTCCCCTGTTATTTAAAATCTAGGATTTTTGTCCAGGAGTCAGTCACTGCCCAGGGTGCAGAGCTTGTAAGGTCTGTCAATTATATTGAGCCTTATAGAGACGTGAGGGACATGCTTATTTCAGTTCCCATAAGAAACCCATACGGGCATCTTTGAACATGTTCTTGGCATTATTCCCTATAGGAATAATTTGGCTTGACTTCATAGACCTGTTTTCATTGCTTTTTACAAGTAGCTCTCCTAACAGCTGCTTTCCAACACCTTCTGTATTTGCATTTCATTACAACTAGTTTTAGGAAAAGTCTTCATGCTTTCTAAGAAATGAAGATGGTGTGGATTATGGAGTGTAGCAGGGTTCCACACCATTTCCAGCTGGATGAATGGGTCCTTCCATGTGTCAGGGCATCATTTTTTTTCATCTTAAAAACAGGTGCCTAGAATATCAACCTCACTGGGTTGTAAGATTCACATAGGGTACCATTCGAGAGAACCAGCCCTAAGCAGTGGTTCCTGGTCCTATTTACATTTTACCCAGGCAGCATCTCCAGCAGTCTGGCCTCTGCCAGAGGTTTTATTCAGAGAAGGGATTTTAGAGAATCACAGGGAGTGACTAGTCTCTAGGGAACTTTTCATTTCTACACCATATATGATTTCCTATCAGAATAAGGGACAGACTCTCAGACGGCTGAGAGAGAATTTGCAGACCTATATTCAGAGCTTTTATAAAGACTGCTGGTGGTCTTGTCCCAACTGAGATACACTCAGCCTATCTACCGTTATGTAGCTCCAGGAAGGAATGGGGCAGATTCCCTGTGGACCTGGCAGATGGGTAAAGGAGAGTCCTGGAGCCCTCAGAGGCTTTTAATGACCTGTCTACGTCATTTTTTGTGAGGCAGCCAGGTGCAGGTTTCCACCCCTCCGTGGACCATTATGCTCTCTGTGCTCTCTGATGTTCTCTGGCAGTCTCTTCACCGGTCTTTACTGCTCTCTGCTGTTCAACCTTTGCCACACTGTCCTCTCCTGCCACCCACATCCTCTGGGTAACACCGGTGGCCTTTATATAGGCTCAATCTCTGGGCTCAGGGGCAAGCTCTTAAGCACACACCAAGTACACACCAAGCACATACCAAGCTCCAGGTGCTACAATCAGGCACGTGTGTTAGACCACAGGTATCGATCATAAATGTTATGGAAGAAGGGCAGAAAAAACTTGATAACTTCCATTTACCCCACAAGTTGCCTTCCAACAACCCCAGCCACTGTCCATGATGTCACACTTTTGTTCTCGTCATGCCACTGTAGGGACCTAAAACATTCCATCTGCTGTATTTCCTCTGACTAGATGTGAAGACTCCTGGGAACAGCACCCACATCTGTCTATTCATTGTTTGCTTAGATTCTGCTAGATGCCATCCCAGCAATAAGGACATGACTCTGGTTATTTACTTGGAAGGTTGTCCCAGGAAGCAATGTGAGTGTGTGTGTGTGTGTATGTACACGTGTGCACACACACAGACCCTGCATTCATGTGCCCAAGAAATGACAAAGGGAGGGGAAGAAGGTCAGTAGGGTTTTTTTTTTTTTTTTTTTTTTTTTTGAGCAAGATAGTGCTCTGGATAATTTAGGTTTGCTCCTACTGGAAAAGTCTGGGAAACATCATTCTTCCTGGTGCGTGGAGACGCATCTGGGGTATTTCTCCACCAGCTCTTGGCAGTCACTGGCTACTCCAGGAAGTGTGACTTCCTGGATTCTTCTGGCCTGACCTGCCCACAGACCGGGTAAGCTATCCTGGCCAGAATCTATTGTGACAGAATCACAGACAAAAATCCACAGGCATTTGCCTGGCAGCTGTGAAGCCCACCTGTGCAGTATCAACACCTGCCAAGGATGAGGCAGTCATGGCATCTGCTATGTGGAATCCCCAGCAGCAGGCACAGCAAGTGGAAAACAGTGATAGTTTGTTGCATGATTCAGGAGGAACAGCACCCCTCCAGGAAGCCAAGTTGGAGATGGGTATTCCAAGCAGGGAAATTCATTTCTCCAATGGATTCACTCAAGCCTGGGCCTGTTTCTGTGCTTTCAGGCAAATGACAACTTTTGTGTTCTCTTGTTCCTTTATTAAAGCTTTGTTGAGTGATGGCCCATGCACTCGTAATTGTCAAAATAGATTGTCCTATACACCCCTCTTTCCCCAACCAGGGCAACAACTGTCTGTTATTTATCTTCGACACAGTCTCAGATCTTCCTTCCATCCATTCAAATATTCCTAGGTATAGATTTTTCTCACAGTGCTGGGTGTTCACGACTAAATTGAGTTTCTTATTTGCGTTCTGGCCAGCAAAGGTAAAAGTGCACTAGCCTTTCCTCTTTTCTAGAGCAGGCTGTCTGAGCCTCAGGCATACTCTGAAATTACCTGGAGCACTTTCAAAGCATTCTGATGCTCAGGGCCCTTCCTCCAGATGTTCTAATTCAATTAATCTGGGGTAAGATCCAGGCATTTGGCACTTAATTAAAAAAAAAAAATTTCTCTGGGCCCTCCCTGGTGGTGCAGCGGGTTAAAGCACAGCACTGAGAAGCTAAAGCCACTTCCGCATGAGTTTGATCCCCACCTGCCCCAGAGGTGACCCACATGGCGCGGCAGACCTCTCCTGACCCACCCACTGCTCCCCTCAGTAGTGTATTTCATCAGTCAGTCTGTTCTGCTCCTCACTCTGTTTATGGTGAATCCTCTCACCACCCCTGCACTTCTAGCTTGTACCCCATTTCTGTATGCACAAATAAATAAATGTTTTAAAAAAAATTTCTCCATGTGCTATTCCCCAGTAATTTTTGCATGCATCCAGGGTAGAAGAAAACTGGCCTGGACCTTATGAAGTTATCTAATACAGGTATTTAAAAAAGGCAGGTATGTTATAGCTTCAGGTACTGCTTGATCCAGCAACCTACTGAGTTCATCAAGGACTCGTGTTTTTTTTTTTTTTTTTTTAAGATTTATTTATTTATGCTTACAGAACTGGGGTACAGGCCAGAGATGCGGAGGGTGAGAGAATTCACCAGGGACAGAGTGGGGAGCAGAACAGGCAAACCGACGAGGTACACTGCTAAGGGGAGCAGCGGGCGGGTCAGGAGAGGTCTGCCACACCATGTGGATCTCCTCTGGGGCAGGCGGGGATCGAACTCATGCGGAAGTGGCTTAAGCTTCTCAGTGCAGTGCTTTAACCCGCAGCGCCACCAGGGAGGGCCCTCTAGTGCTTTGCTAAATCTGCCTTGCCTTCTGTCATAACTGTTCTTTGGTTATCAGATAAGCCCTCAGAATTCCTAAATGACCATCTAGATGGTATCAGACTATATGCTGTCTCATTCATGTCCAATAGGAAAGAGAACATCTTTGTCCTTCTGTTCCCAGCACAAGTCTTGAGATTTATGCTATTTAGATTGACATAGATATCAGTCTTATCCCTAATCAGCTATTGTTGCCAGGGGATGACTTATACTTTTGGCTCTGTTCTTAACATTGCATCACTATCTTCAGACCCTAGTTCTGATGCTCATTACAAACACCTGGACAACCTCTACCATGTTTTGCTGCCCATGCCCTATCCAGATGATTCTGCTCAATGGCATGGGGTGGGGCTCAGGTGTTGGCATTTTCCTAAGTTCCCTGAATGATTAGGATTTGGAGCCAAAGTGGAAGAGCCTGACCTAAACATTGTACAGTCTCATGATGCTGGTTCAAACCCCACGTAGAAAGGGTCACAAGTATAGGAGCTCTGCTTGTGCCTGAGTGTATGCCTTGCTAGGGGTCACCTGTATGTCCAGCAGCCATAGGTGACCACATGGTTAGACATAGGAATCCCCAATACAGGAACAGAGCTGTGACCCCTAAAATGATTAGCCATGAGAGGAAATAGCCCATGGCAGTTAGATTAAGATAATTTCAGGCACTTACGACACGAAGTGGCTGCTCTTGCTAGTGACCTCGGGGTACCTGAGGCTTTCCGCTCCTCTGTGTCTGTTTCCTCATGTGCTCTTGGGGTTCACAGGGTATCTATGGCTCCCTGAAATGCCTACTATAGACAAGTGAGCTCTGTGTCAGGTAGCCTCAGCTCCACAGGGTAAGGCAGAATACCCTAGTAGGGAAGAATGATCTCTATGGAGCTGAAGAACTTTAAACAAATCTCCTTCCTCTGAGTTTCACACTCCTCACCAATCAAGCTTCTATCTTCAGAATGCTCTACCACACCATGAAATGAGATAATGTCTGTAAAGCCCCTCACGCAGTCCCTGGTGGATAACAGGAGTTCAGTAAATTGCTTTCCTTCCAGGAATGCCACTGTTGGTGCAACAGTCTTAATGTGATGTCCAATGAGGGAAACCCAGACTCAGTGTTCAACATGTGTAATCACTTGCTGCTTATGGGTGGAAGCCATTTGGTCAGCCCTGACTCTGTGTCCCTCAGCAGGCCAGAACCACCTCTTTATTTCTGTACCTCCCAACCACACTACACAAGGTTCTAGATTTTCTGTAGCATCTGTCTTAGGAGCAACAATCTTGTCCGAAGAAGGTGCCTTGAAGTTTTTCCTCTTGAAGTTGCATTTTTACAAGGTCATGGCATTTGCATTTGAATGGGATGCTTGCCTGGGGCTAGAGGAAGATTCTGGAAGGATTCTGTACTGCCTGGCACAAAGCAAGTACAGATAGCTGGATGTTGAGTGAGTGGACCAGCCTTCCCTCTTCACCACTTACCTCTCCTGCCCAAAGGAGTCATGGAAGAAATAAAGATTAAGAGTGTAAGAAATAGTTTTGTTTTATTGATTAGAACATGGTATAAAATTACAGCAATTTGCAGACATTCTGGGCTGTCTGGGAGGGACATGCAGTGCAGGGCTCTAGTGGGAGATGGAGTGGAGGCAGGGACCACGCATTAGCTCTCTTCCTGGGCGTGTGAAGGGACTTGTCCTACCAGCTCAGGTGCTAGTTTGAGAGAGAAATTCTGGTCTTGCCTCTGGAAACAAAGGACAGTGGGCAGTCTGGGTCATCAATGCCATGCTTAATAGTTCAGTCCTAGTGTACTTATGTGAGGTGTTGGCTCTCCCAATCTAGTTATATGACAGGCCACTGCTGTGTAATGCTCATTCTTCCCCCTAGGAAGGGAAACAGGCACATTGGCTTGGGAGGCCATCAGAGGATGGAGTGCGTTTGGTTCAGGTCATCTTACTTCCAGATGCATCAAGGTCTGCTGGATGCGGAGGCAGTGGGCGGGGCACGCAAGCAGAAAAGTGCACTACTGATGAAGCTCAAGCAGCGGGACCTTCCACAGGCAGGAGTGTGAAGAAATGAGCGTGCTTCCGGAACAAACCCAGGTTTATCTCATCTCTCTCATGAAGAGGGAGGTGGAAGAGTTGGAGCTCAGAGACCGAGTTGTGTGATGCTGGTCCCACAGAAAGTCCTCAGCAGGGAATTCTTCCAAAGTGTAAAAGGTGTGTCTGTCCCAAGACTCAGTGTGTAAAATCGGAACAAGGGCAGATCAAGGTGTTAAGGTGTGGCTTAGTACAACGTCTCTGAGAGCTGTCTCCAAATTACATGACATTTTGGAACAGCTGGAGGGACCGTATGATGTTGTCATCCTGGGAAGGGAGGAGGAAGAAGAGAGGATGGTTAGAACTCCCCGAGGCTGCTCTCTGAGCAAATCTGCAGCATGGGCTTCCTTGCAGAGACAACAAATGATTCTGGTTATCTGGAATAGTGTTAAAGTTGCTAGAATAGACAGATATTATTTCTTAATGGGTTCTGGTGTCAGGTGAATGAGATTCAAATCCTGGCTCTTCCCCTTACTAGCTGATTCAGGGAAATAAGTAACAATGGCAAGTTATTTGATCTCTCAGCTTCTTTGCATGTAAAATGGCACCGACCATGGTATCTGCCTAGAGGTTGAGTTGTGAAAAAGAAATAAGTTAAGTAATGAATAACTATAGAATCTACTCATGTGAGAAACTTAATGCATTAAAAAAATGTTAAGCAGAGCAAAAAAGTACACTTCAGTAGGGCACGGTGCTTAAAATTAGAACTTTGGAGTTCTTTGGAGTTCTGTCACTTATGGTGCCTTAGTCCCATCTCTTAACCTTACAATGCCTCATTTTCTCTCCCTTAAAATGGGTGTGATCAGTATTGCTGTCTTGTCAGTTCTCAATGATTAAAGTGTTAAAATACTTCTAGCCTTGTTGGTAAGCAGCTGCTGACCTGGGATTCCTCTCCAGCATCTTCCCCTCTGGCTGTCTCATAGTTGGCCCAGAATCCCTGGGCCACTCACACATTACCAAACTAACAGGGAAAGCCAGTTCAGGAGAGGCCCTCTAGGGCCCTGCATCAGGACAATGGTCAAAGCCAGTTAAAAATGGTCAAATCTCAGTTCATTCTAGTTATCAAATATGTTGAAAATCCATCCCACCCCCCACCCCAAAAATAATGCATCTGCCTCTTAGGACCGTTGTAAGAATTAGTCATTGGATCTGACACCTGCCAGGTACTCAGTAGTATGGATAACTTTGCCCTGCTTTCTTGCATTTGCAGTTCTTCTTGGGAAGAGTTCAGAGTAACTGTGTACCTACCTTTCTGAAATAAGGTGAGGGTATTAAGTGCATTTTCCTAATGTAGATGAGAACAACTATTTCTAGTTCATTCTCAAGCAGACACTCTGGACGCAGTGGGGTGGGGGGGACCAGCAGTCTCAGCATCACCTGGGTGAAAATATATCAGCCAAGCCTACTCTAGACCTGTTAGATCAGAATCTGAATTATAATGAAAGGCTCCAGGAGGTTGGCCTGTGAAATGAAGTTTTAGAAGCTTTGGTTCTAGATATTTGTATTACAATGAGAATTTCCAGGCCCCTGCCCCAGATTTTGAATCTATTTTTAGAATTCTCCCAGGCATAGCCTTACACACACTGTAGCTTGAGACTTGCAGCCTTAGATTTATTTCCCCAGCTATTGTTGTCCGGGCAGTGTGTCATCAAGTCAGAGACAGGTGGGAATGACAGTGTTCACCCCTTGGGAAGTTTGTCATTTCAGGAAGACCTCGTATGGGTTTTCCTATCCCCACCACTTTTCAGGCTGTCCCACTTGGTCTTGTGCTTATCCAGGACAATGCCTCGAAAAGCACAAGTCTTATCTGTCTGGGGGCACTCTGGGGAGGGGAGAGTAGGTTTCTGAGTCATTGGTGGTTGTGGCATCAAAGATACTGTGACCTCAGGGTTCACACATTTTTCATTTTCTTCCTTCCTCGAGACCCAGATTTCCTTTCCCATATTTGGAGGTATATTGCCTTGAGATTTATCATTACCTCCTGACAGGATTCAAGAAATTCATCTAAAGTCACGATGCCATCTTTATTTTTGTCCATTTTCTGAAAGATAAAACAGAAATTACTTTGGAAAACCAGGTAGTCTATATTCCAAATGTGCCTTTTGTTAAAAGTTTACTTTTGAGAACTAGAGTGTTCTTCCAATGAGGAGACAGTTCACGCTAGGTCCTGGTTATGCCACTTGTATCCCCACAAGTCACCTTAAAATGCAAAGATTGGCTTCAGACTCATAGCCTCATCACCAGATCGTTCTGCAGGCTCCCTAACCACAGCGATGGCATTAGGATGGGCCTGACATTTTTTGCTACGCTACTGGGAAGTTAATATTGCTACCATAATCATGTTGTTCTTGAACCACAAATCAATAGTAGCTACCCCCACCACCACCAGAGCCAAGCCAAACTCTTCTATTTAAAGAACTCACAGTCCAGTGTACCCTAGTTTCCAGACCTCTTTCTCTTTACTCTCAGACACAAATCTTTAACGCCTACACAAAGCCCTTAACTGCATCTGCTCTGTTTACTTAGGTGCCCAAGAATTTTTATGGCACTGAGAATCCATACTACACCACTTACACTTGATATTATACTTCCCTGTTTGTTCCCGTAAGGGACACTTGCTTGCTTAACACGGTCAATGATTCCTCAAGGACAATACATCTTGTAATTAAGTTTCCCATGATGCTCAGCACCTATGCATTTGAGCAAGTAGACACAAACTACTTGCTCAAATGCATAGAAAGGCTCATGGATCTACCCACGCAGGTGTGTGCACTTACCTGGAAGAAGACATCCACGTGCTGTCGGGGGGTATCCTCTTTGAGCACGGGATACGTGTATTTCCCCATCATGTCATAGATGGCTTTGACTATGTCCATCATCTCCTGGAAAGAGGACATGGAAGCCTTAAAATGGGAACCATGTGGTCAAACTCCTCCTAGGTGACAGAAATTGGGGTGTTTTGTCCCCTTTGTCAATGAGAGCAATTAGAAGGAACTTCTGCTGAAGAAAAGGAGTTTCATTAGCAAGTAGGAGGTGTTATTTCTAGGAAATCCTCCTAGAGAGGGCAGTGAAAAGTTCCCTGTCTGCCTAAGCTTTTCGGTAGGTCACTTCTTCAGGGAATTATCCTTAGTGAGGAGTTATGTAAGATGGGATGGATGTGTCTGGTTCTGATCAGTACCCCTCCCCCCCAACTGTGAAAGACCCTTTCTCCCTTCCATATTCCTTGTATGGGTGGCTGAGTTTGTACCAGGTGACCTGTGGCCACTGCTGACTGGCATATGTAGACATCTGACTAAAGCTGAGCTACTCAGTCTTTCCTCCTTGAGGAATTTGAATTAAGAGGCACAGAAACTAGTCTGAAGTGGTAGAACACTGGAGCTCTAAAGTCAAGGGGAGTTGTGGCTATGGACAAGCCATTTCCAAGTTCAGCTGAGGATGAGGGAGACCTGAAACACGGCCTTCTGCAGAAGAGCAGAATGGAGCATAGGTACTGTACTGCTTTGAGAAAAGGATTGAAAGAAGAGGAAAGAAGAGAAAGGGGGGTGGAGGGAGAAAAGTGGTGGTGGGGGGCAGTTAGGGTAAGGGAGAAACAAATGTTTGCATGAACAATTGCACACACACACACACACACACTTTCTCTCTCTCCCTTTGAGAAAAACAACAGAAGAAGACAGAGACATTAATAGAGGTCAAGTGAAGCCATGGAGAGGCAGTGTCTGAGAATGGTCACCCAATCAACTAGAACCTTCCCTTGGGTCTTCTCCACCCCTATGTTTCTCTCAACTTGAGCCTGTCAATTATCACAGAAGAAAGTATGGCCATGTGATTTCAGAAGGGGAAGGAAAAAAGGAAGAAAGAAGAGATGAGAGACAGTGACAGAGAGGCAGAGAGTGAGAGGAGGAGGGGGGAGGGGGAAGTGAGAGAGAGGGGAGAGGGGAGAAGGGGAGTGGAAGGAGGGAGAGGGTGAGGAGGAGAAGAAGCTAGAAATAACTTTCTAGTTTCAAGGAGATTAAGTGTGCTCCATCGACTCCCTATATTAATAAATCTCTCTAACACAAGAAAGTTTCTGTTGATGATTTTTCTAGTTTTTGTAATTAAATTATCATGTCTATATAACAATAATTACCATCCTTGGTCGATGGGGTTTCAGATCTTGTCAGTTTCTTTCCAATATTTCAATGCAAACTGATACAGAGTAAGTGACCAGTAAACAGTTACTAAAATTACTACGATTTTTATTATTAGGTCATGGGTCTGTTTCCCAACACTGACCTCTGTGATAAAAGTGCCAGGTACTGCTTTGCTAAAGTATCTGCCCCTGGCAGAGATTCCAGGATACCAAAGTAAATTTTGAGATAACTCAGTGCATATTTCACTGGTAGTCACTGCATGTACTGGGAAGCACTAAAATGGTCAAGCAGTGATAATTCAAAGGTTGTGGTGATTTCTTTGGTGATGGCTGAACCCCCAGACTCCCCTTCTGTGTAGCAACTAAAAGAGGTTGCCACCTTTCTGACTATTAGCTTCAACTTGTAGCTATTAACCTGTTAAAATATAAGTTCCCCTGGGAAGATTAACTCTACACTAAAATAAATCATTTAGGACCGCTTTGAAATAATGTGCACTGAATATTGTGATCCAGTTAGAATGAATCTGCTTCAGCTTCTCTTGGGCACCTAGGGACAGGGCAGAGTATGGAATGACTGAAGTCAAAGGTGACCTGCACTTTGCAGGAAAAAGCTCTATGACCCCCAAAGCAGGACCCTCCTCATTCTGACAATTTCACAACTGTCTTCTATTTCACTAGGTGTGAGTGTCCTCATACCCCTGGGCTCAGCTTACCTCTTTGTTTATGTAACCATCTTTATTGATGTCATACAAATTAAACGTCCACCTTAGTTTCTCATGGACGGTTCCTCTCAGTAAAATCGACAGAGCAGTTACAAAGTCCTGAGAAATGGAAGAGACATGAGTGACATTGACCCGGAAGCCATCAATTGGGGGAAAGCTGTCATGATCAAACTTGGGGGCTGTTTTTACATGGTGGTATTGCTCACGTCCTCTGTTCCTGAGGTATGGCCAATCTTAGTAGAGGACCCCTCCCACACCCTCCCCATTCCACCCCATCTGGGGAATGGAACTCTGTGTGTGCTGACACCTGCAGACACAGGGAAACACAGCCTCCCCGGGTAGTGTCTCAGCCCAAGTCTGCAGTTACATGAGTGATGAAATAGTCTAGTATCTAAGAACATGGGCTCGGAGTTCCAATCTGTCTTTTCCACTTACTAGCTGCCTAACCTTGGGAAAGCAACTCTTTGTCTTACTTTCCTCGTCCACAAACTTCTAATAAATACAATTATAAACCACAGACATTCTGCAGGGGAGGGAGCAGGATCAGCATGAAGGCAGGAAGAATACAAGTGACTATGGTGATGGTGCACAGGTGAATTGGTGAGGGAATTCTATGGGGGCTACGGCTGATAGAAAATAGATATAAATAAAGACAGTAATTTAATTACAAAATACTTGTAGGGTTATTGTGGGGATTAAAATGGCTGGTGTGTAGAGAGCTTTCCATGTGGTCAGGCTGGCGTGCAGGGGGGTTGCTAAATTGCTGACTTAAGTCATGGAGGCCCTGAAGGGGGCTAGAGGGTGGAGACAGTTGCTTCTTCTATCTCCTTAGGAAATGCTTATTAAGTAGATAATGGTTATCCTGTCTTGACTGAAGCATTTGATGACCCAGTCCTTTCCCCAAATCTCTATGGCTTGGTAGGAGAGGGGATGAGGACCCAGGGACTCACGAGACAAACATACCTCAAACTTCACAGAGCCTGTCTGGGTGGTGTCGAAGGCGTGGAAGAGGTAATGGGCATATGTGCTGGCATCTGCAAGGCAGAGAGGGAAGGCAGGTTGTGGCAGCTGGGATTCCACAGGGGAGCGTGATTGTTTAAGACAATAAGGAAGAAAAGGGGATATACTGGTAGAAGAGAGCATACTAGGGACAGCAAAAACCTGCTAGTGGCCACTCAGGACCAATTTAGCTCTAGTTTAGGTGGGGAGTCCTTATCCCTCTATCTAGCTGTTCCCAGAGAAGACCCTCCTGCCTAGCTCTGTAATTCTTTTTTTAAGATTTATTTATTTATGCACACAGAGCTAGGGTACAGGCCTGAGGTGCAGGGGGCGAGAAGATTCACCAGAGACAGAGTGGGGAGCAGAACAGGCAGATGTATTGAAATACACTGCTGAGGGGAGCAACAAGCCAGTCAAGTGAGGTCTGCTGTGCCATGTGGGTCACTCTCCTGGGTGGGGATCGAACTCATGCTGCAGTGGCTGCAGAGGCTTCATAGAGCTGTGCATTAACCGCGCCACCAGGGAGGGCTCTGTCTCTGTAATTCTTGTTGGATGAAAGACACAGCAACTGTGTGGAACAGATGGTTGTCTGAGTAGCAGCACAAATATCATGGGATGAGCACCCCTTAGCACATGGCCACTGGAGAGCAGTTCTCCCACTACACAGCCCTTAAGATTCGAACACAGCCTCTCTCCCACTACACAGCCCTTAGATTCCAACACAGCCTCTCTGAGCTTCATTTTCCTATCTCTGTACAGTGAGAGGTAGCCAGACTTATCCCTTGAAATTTTGGAAATAATATGTGAAACTTTTCACATAGTCACATCATCAAAACCATCAACAAACCTTCCATAGAGTCAAAACTCAAAAAAGTGTGGTTCAAAAGACTTCAATAAATGGTGGCCTGGCACCTGCATGGGGTGAAGCTACCCCCAACTTGGGTAGCAACCCTGTGCCTAGGAAGGTTCTGTGTGCTGCTGAAAAATGTTTGGTATACTTGGATGTACATTTCACCAGGACCCAGTGAAGGAGTCCTGTGGGAGGTAACCCCAGGGGATAGGAAGCAACACATGGATAGGAGGTAACACATGGACCCCACAGAAAGGGCCATGGGTGACCTGGGTCCATTGGCCAGAGCTGACTTTCTTCAGCTTCTTCAGGTAGGGCCACAGAGCAGCCGAGCTTACGGCAATCACTGACCTGGATTTATCATCACAACATGGTGCTCCATACATCATTTTGTATTAATTTAGTAAATTAATTTCCAAAATCGAGTCTGCCTCACTTCGTAAGGAAAAGAATAGAGTGTATGTGTGGCATCATGGTAGCCCTAACATGACAAAACTGTACATCAGATACTTAACAGGGTCTAATCCTGTCTGCCACTCATTAGCTGTGTGATCTTGAGTGAACTGCTTAACCTCTCTGAAATTCAGTTGCCCTGTTAGGTCAGAGCTGCTTTCTAGAGCTTTTATGAGACGTTATAGCACATAATCAATCTCTCATAACCAACCTCTCAATCAAATGGTCAAGGGCCCATTTTCAGAACTCTTTTATGAGTAAGTTCTAGCAAATCCCACAGGGAGGAAACCTGCTCTGAGCAATCCCAGCCTTGAGGAAGAGGCAGATAACAAAGCTGCATGAACTTGGAATAAGAAGCTGCTCATCAGACAGGGAGCTGGATGGGATTTTTTCAAGGCTTGGACTTACCTCCATGAGGGAAGAACTGAGCATAGATTTGCTTGAATGTTTCTTCATTGACCACACCGCTGGGGCACTCCTGCATGAAGGGGAGGGAGATGGGGCAGGTGTCTGAGGGTCAAGGACTCTAAGGCCTTCCACACCCTCTTCCCCACCGATGGCCAGTGTGCAGGGCCTATGCAATCTCCTGTGTGTTTTTTTTTGTGTTGTGTCTCCAAAGTTGAGTGGCCGGAAGGTGGCCCCACTTAAGACTGAAGCTGCTTTCCAAAGTGAGGTGATGTTGCCAGAGAGTGAGCTCTGTGAGGAGCCAGGAGTTTTGGGCTTTGGAATTAGAAAGCCCTGGGTCTGGGTCTTGGCTCAGCCCCTACTAAGCTTTGAAACTTAGAGAGAGTCAGTCTCTGACCCTTGATGACCTAACCTGGAAAATGGGGCAAACAGCACTTTCCCAATTAGACTGCCATGAGGTTAAATATATGTGACTGTGGTGTTCATTTATGCCTTGCATTCAGGCTTACCCATCAGGGCCTGTGAGCTGGGTTAGCAGCGCAACTTAATCCCTTCATGACAGAGACACTGGTACTACTGAGTGAGTGAATGTATTGTGCTAGGTGAGAACTTGGGCCTGGGAATGTTGCTTGGTATTTGCAGGCCCCATGTGGGAAATTCTGCCCTGGACTTCAGAGGCGGTGGTGGGGGTATCTTACATTTTTGAAGCCTCGATATAGGACTTGCAGCTCCCGCTTGGTGAAATTGGTCTGAGCCTCAAGCTGCTCCAGCCCCTCTGGCCGGTGACAGACCATGGTCATCTCCAACTCATCTTCAATCTTATCTGGAAGCAGAGGAGACGGCATTGGAACCACTGACCTCAAGAACCCCTTGTGAGACTGCAGTCTGGGCAGTTCAGAGTGGGTCAGGACCCAGTGCATTGGGGGTCACACTGTAGATGACCTTCCTCCTTTGAGCCATCTCCCTGCCCAGTCCTTTCTGTCTCACAGTTGATTCAGGCATGCCCTTCAGTGTGTCAGATGCCATCCAGGGAGGGGGCTTCCGCCAAGTGGCCTAGTAGAGATGAGACCATAGCACTAAAAATAAGTCCATATGAAAACATTTCCTTTTCTTTCAATATAAACTTTGCATATGCAATTTGCTGCCCACTGAACATCTGAAATTCAGGAGACAAAGTGAAGCAAGTGGAATGAATGCCATTCCAAACAGCAAAGGGAAACATCTGAGTTTTTTTTTTTAAATTCTATTAAAAAACAGAATAAACTCTCATCATTTGAGACAACTAGAGGAAGGCCAGAATGACTTAGCACAAAGTTCAAATTATTGTATACACAATGTTAATTTTAAAATATGAATATATTTTACAGTGTATCACTTTATGATATCTACTAGATAGCCATAAGTAATAAGAAAATGACTTCAGTGGGCATCACTTGATTTAAATGAAAGCTTCTGAAGCATTTCAAGGGCTCTAGGAACAGCTGTCTGGAGTAATAGGTTAACTATTCCTGCAATATGTAATATAATTTTGCAGTAGTTATTGAGGAAGCGTCAGTCAATTAAAGTGAGCAATCTCCCCATCTCCTGTCCAAGAATCACTAGCTCCAAATCAGTGGAACTTTCATAGTCTTATCATTGCAGAAGGGTAAGTGAGTGCTTTTGGCTGGGCCCTGCCGGAAGGCTTTCTATAAATTTACTCCAATCAGCGATCAATTGCCATCTAATCTTCTCTGCCCATTGTTGTCATGTAGACATTACCAAATCCATATATTGAACTGTAAATCGGGGCTGGCAAGAATATTGATGAGATGGGAAGGCTGCTGGGAGCACGCACAGACGCCACGTCACTCTGTGAAGATGGAGCATCACGATGAGCTGTTTCTGGCTGGGAGGACAAGGTGAATGAAATTGCGTGTCTCTGTGCTCTCTGCACCACATTTTCTCTGCAATTGTCGCTTTTCCTTTTAAGACTTTGATTTCAATATAAAAAAATCTATCAAGGCAAGTTTGTATCTTGTACAACTTCCATAAAATAATGTTCATTTGGGGAAGGTTCTAAGGAGAGGCAGGAGAAATTGGCAGCAACGCTCAGTTGTCATTTTTCCCATGCACTCACTGGGCAACACATATCTTATCCTGCTGGGAGGAAGGCAGATTATTCAATATAAATAAGATGCTGTGTTTACACAACATAGCTGCAAGTGGCCAATTTCCTTATAATTCTTGCAGAGCCTTTAATTATTGTTATGGTTGTAGCTAACAAGTTAAGTAGCAATTACCTAAACACTTCAGTGTTTCTCTGTAAATCAAAGGGTAGATTCTAAAACAAACACCCCCCCCCTTCCATAAGTCTAATTCTGAATAGGCGCACATATTTTTAACTCATTTAAAAATGGAAATAAAATTGCCAGTTTAAAATCACCTAGATTTAATAGCAATTTTTAAAAGGCAGAATTTAACAGTGTGAAAAGAAGGCAAAAGTCATATTAAAATGTAAACAAGGAAGATAGAAACATATTTTTGGAAGAAATGATATACTATCAAAGACATCTCATACACATAAGTTTATCTTATCCATTCTTTTTGCAATATTATCTTACTTCTATTACTCTCCCTTTCACTGAATTCCTTACAAGCTCAGGGAAATCTCTTTACAGAAGTTGGAGAAAATTCCTCTGACATAGCAACTGTACTTGTTTACTTATCTCTCTTATGAAAAAATGCATATAAGTCAAAATAGCTATAGGAAGTCCCCATGATTAAGATAGAACTAGACTTTATAAAACACTGTTGGCCATCTAGGCAGAAGGGACAATGATCACATCGAACAGCCTCTGTAATATTTGAATATAACTGTAAAGCTTTTGTATGGTTTTTTTTTTTTTTTTCATTAACCCTCTTATTGTCAGTCTGTGGTAACCTCAGCTACTAAAGGAAATTCGTCCTTAGGTTTTGAGATGCTTGGAAGTTGGCTGTAGGTGACATTAGGGTGGTTCTATTTTTTTTTTTAAACCACCGTTTCTTGAATTTGTGCGTATGTGTGGTTTTTTTTTTCCATCATGTTTCATAGCAAGAACAATGTCCATCATAATCCAGGGTACCCATGATGGAAGCAAAAATTTTGTGAAATAATTTGAAGCAAAAATTTTGTGAAATGATTTGACGCAAAAATGTTATGAAATGGCACATTCCCTCTCTAATGGGAGGTGTGCTTGGTTCTCAATTTTGATCTAGTCCTTTAAAAAATGTGCGGATTGTAACACTTATGTGTTGCCTATGCTTGTGGCAACCTTTTAGGATGCCCATATCAAGGCATCCCTGTCCTTCACATCAATTCTCCCTTCCCTTTCTTTGTGTCTGGTGCATCTGGCCACGGTAAATACATCCTCAATCTTTGGATGGACTACAGGAGTTTCTGTATCCTAATGCTGCCCCCTGGGGGGACACTTAGGTACTGCAACACGGTTTCCAGGAAAGGAAAGAGACCCGCCCACCTCCCTGGTAGGAGGAAGAATATTGTAGAATTAACAGCGGGGAAGCTTCCTGGACAGTTTTTTTGTTTTTGTTTTGCTTTTTTTTTGATGCTTGTAAAGAATGTACGAGGCCAAATGTTGGTTGTCATTACTGGTTTTTGTTGTTAGCTATAACGGGCCAGTTACTAAGTCAGATTGTGTTTCCGTGATAGAGATAAAAATTAACCTGGTGATTGAATACTATGGCGATAACTACATAATAAGAATAAATTATAAAGTACATTTAATTTATAGGATGTTTGCATGCCCCTTGTCTTACAACGACCTTGTAGGTGGTGGGAGTGTACGGGGCTTATTTTCCTCTCCTTCTGAATCTAAGGAAGAGGAGTGTTCTAAAGATGTTTCTGTCTTTGAGAACCTTGAAAAATGATGAGCTGTCTATTAGTGGAGATAGCTAAAGTGAGCTAGAATAACCAAGTTTAGAGGAATTACCATAGAAGATTCCCAGACTGCAGGAGAGTTTGTGGAAGTGATTCAGATGAAATAGTCTTTAATATTTTGGAGTCATAGACTCTTCTAAGTGTGGGATGAGAGCTTTAGACCTTTAGAAAAAATTATATTGAATTAGGACATTTGCCTATACACTTCCAGTGAGCTCCTATATTTTAAATACAAAGAAATGGTGTTAAGGGCTCTAGTATAGGGGATCTAGTGTTCTTCTAAAAGCTGAATGTCTTAGTCTGAGTCCTAGACCACATAGCCAGCTGATGACAGAACCGAGCCTAGAATCCAGCTTGTCCAAGACCTTTCTTATACACTTGGCTCCAATGGGTTCTTCAATGACTTCTGATTCCCTCAAGTATAAATTGCAAATGGGCTCATAACTAGCCTCGCTGTAGTTCTGCGCCTAACAAGCTCTGTGCACTTGAAAAAGGTGGACCCTTGAACAGTTAAGAATGGGAGGACAGAAGCCTTTGGATCCCTTAGTGAGGTGTCTTCTCTCTTAGTTTCATGGCCATAACCAACAACCATGGCCATCATGATCTCTAGGAAGAGAATTAGAAAATAATTTCTCCATCATGGAGTCTCTGGGATTGACTTTAACTAGTTTTGAGGTTACAAAATGGCGGTTATGGATGAACACAGTCCACAAGTAGCTCTTGTTTGGATTTTAAATGCATTTTTTTTCCCGTAGGGGGGTAGACTAAGTGGCAACATTTAAAAGTGAGATGTTTATGGGACAAATCAGGATTCCTGATTTCTCTGGGTCTCAAAATCTCACTGGGCAATAGTCTATTAGAGTTGAGCAGTGGCTCTTTCCCCTGGGAAATCAAAGCCTCTGGTGCTGCCCCTCACTCACCTCTGGCCACTTCTGCATTCATGCCACCTGCCTGGCCTCACAGGCATTTGAGGTTTTGGTTCCTGATCTCTGCCTGCTTGCTTTCCTCTCCCATCTTCTACCTCACTCTAGCCAGTTTTCCACCTCCTGCTCCCTCATTTGTTTATTTCAAAACATTCCACTTTGTCTCATAAAACACTCCAAGCTGATTATGTAAAATCATTAAGACAATAAAATAGATAAATACTAAGAAACACTGCCTCAGAAACTGTTCAGTGGATTAGGAGTTCCAGAGCACATGGAAAAAGAGACTAGGAATTCAGGTTATTTGTTCTAAACAGTTACTACACTTGAACCACAAATGAGCCCTGAGCTTTTCCATATATCTTGTTGCCATTGAGAAGACAACTTACTGTTTTTAAGAGAACAAAGCTTTTCCTGTAACTTATTGCTGAAAGCACAATTCCAACTGTTTCCAGTAGAAGTTATTTCTAATTGGTGGGGTTTGCTAACAAGGAGTACCAAAGTTGGTCAGTGAGAAGATGAATTATGAAATATATACTTAATGAAACAGCTCTTCCTTAAAAAGTAATGTGACCAAAATAGTCAAGTTAGTGTAAACTTTTTACCTCGCTGATACTGGTAATACCACCAGGCGATGTCTAGGAAAAAGTAAGAAAACATTTTACCAAATCCATTCATCAAACAAGCAAAACACACTCTTATTTTCCATGGTGGCTCCTCTCTCAGGATGTCAGGGTTACCATCCAGCTGCACATGGAGCTGGGAGGGACCACTTTTCTGACCTTTCCCAAGGTCCACACGCAGAGTAATGGGCCACCTTGCAGTACCTACAGCTCCCAGCAGGGGGCTCACTGAGCATGCCCGCAGCCATGCAGCCATGCAGCCTGAGGAGAGATGGGATGGCATGGGGCAGAAGATGCACAGATGTGGATGGGTCCTTGGAAATACCAGCAAATTTGATTGAAAAGTCGCTTATAAGACACCCTC